GAGAAGAGAAGAAAGGGGAAGGGAAGGAGAGGAGAAGGAGTAGGGGTTGGGTAAGGAGCAGGAGGGAGAAGAAAGGGGAGGGGAAGGAGATGCTTTCACTACTTTGTCTGAGTTCCAATCAATCTACAAAGCCTCAATGCCCTGCTTCCCTTGACAGCCTCTGTATAGCTCACAGCAAAGCACTGCACACGGGACCTGTGTCTGCATCCCCACTGTGGGGTAGAGAGAAGCAGGCTGAGATCTCACCTCCTCTCCTGTCCTCTGTCACAGTGGCTCTTGCACACTCACAACAGACCTGTGCCTTCTGCCTTTCACGTGTGGCCACACACACAGCGGCTAAGTAGAGCATCTAAATCCCAGTGCTGCGCCTAGCCACTATGAGCCCCGACATCAGTATATTCCAAACTCACCCCCTGACCCCACTGTGCAGCCCTGTGTGGGACCAATGCCTCAAGATGCATCCTGCCTTAGCACACAGCAGTCATGCATTAAGTAACCTGAGAACAGTCTTCCAGATCTCCTGAGAGCAGGAGTCCCCTGCGGTCATAGAAATTCCTGACTCAGGAACACATTTTAAAAAAAAATAATTTTTTTAAAGAAAGAAATTCTGCCAGATCCCAGGCCTTCTGAAACAGAATTTGCAGAGAACTAACTGTATATGTAACCGGTGTTTTTCTATTTTTCGACCTTAACATTGCATTTACCCATTGATACTTTCCCCTTTGTAACTAGTAGCAGCAGACATATGCAAAGTATCTGGATCTGAGTGAAAGTCAAATTTGAAGCCCTAGGAACAGAACTTAGCAGTCCTGGGACATCAATCCCTTGAAGGCATACCTTCAAACCCTGAGTTGCAAAGCACAAAGACAGTCATAATTACTCGGGCGCTAATTCATATCTACCTTGCCTAGAAGACTTTGTGCAGATTAGTAGAGACATTTGGGATGGATGGATGGATGGATGGATGGATGGATGGATGGATGGATGGATGGGTGGATAGATGGGTGGATGGATGGATGGATGGGTGGGTGGGTGGGTGGATGGTTGAATGGATGGATGAATGGATGGATGGATGGATGGGTGGGCGGGTGGATGGATGGATTGGATGGATGGACGAACGGACGGACGGATGGATGGATGAGTGGGTGGGTGGATGGATGGTTGGATGGATGGATGGATGGTTGGATGGATGGATGGATGGATGGATGGATGGGAGGGTGGATGGATGGATGGGTGGATGGATGGGTGGATGGATAGGTGGGCGGGTGGGTGGGTGGATGGATGGATTGGAGGGTGGGTGGATGGATGGGTGGATGGATGGGTGGATGATAGGTGGGCGGGTGGGTGGGTGGATGGATGAATTGGAGGGTGGGTGGATGGATGGATGGATGGATGGATTGGAGGGTGGGTGGGTGGATGGATGGATGGATGGATGGATGGATGGATGGCAGGGTGGGTGGGTGGATGGATGGGTGGGTGGGTGGGTGGATGGGTAGATGATGATGGATGGATGGATGGATAGATGGATGGATGAATGGATGGATGGATGGACGGACAGACAGACAGACAGATGGGCGGGTGGGCAGATGGATGGATGAATGGGTGGATGGATGGATGAGAATTGAATAAGTGGTGCAAATGGATGGGAGGGTGGACGGTGGGTTAGTGGGTTTCACATGTTGTACACAGATGTGGGTAGCTAGGAAAATAAGGAGCTGAATGAACAGATGGGAAGGTGGGTAGCCGAATAGACAGATGCGTGGAGGGACGAAGAATGCACACCTGTCGTCTGCAGAACTGGCCATCCCATTCGTCTTGTTCTGGATCGAGAAGATGACATGCTAATAACTGGGGGAAGGCATCCGTTATTTGGGAAATATAAAGTGAGTACCACCCATGAAATTACGAAAATGCCTCATTTTGTGTGCGCGACTCTGTCCCTTTTCTGTCATTTTGATTTTGCGAATTCTAAAAGCAATCGCGATCTAAAATAGCAAATGAAGACGGTACATGTTTTGGATAGCCATGGCATTTTTAATGTATAGGTGTAAAAAAATATAATGATGAAAATAAAATCTTAAATAATGGCTAAAAGACTCTGTTTGAGGGACTGGGGCCATGGTTCAGTAAAGAGAGCATTCGCTGTGCAAACCTGAGGACTGGAAACGGGATCCCCAAGACCCACATAAAAGCTTGAGAGAGTGGGGTTTCCTGCCTGCAGCAGTGCCCAGGAGGAGGAGACGGGATCCCTGAGGCAAGTTGGCTAACTAGCCTAGTCAGCTCTGTGAGGCCTAGGTTTGTCAAGAAGCCCACCTTGGTAAATAAATTGAAGTGCAAATCAAGAAATATATCTAAACCAGGTGGTACAGGACTAATCTCAATACTCAGGATACTGAGGCAGGCAGATCTCTGTGAGTTTGAAAACAGCCTGGTCTATAGAGTGAGTTCCAGGACAGGCTTTAAAGCTACACAGAGAAATTCTGTCACAAAAAGCCAAAATAAGAGACCTGACATTATCCTTTGGCTCCACACACATGTGGGCACACATACACATAAAAAAAGCATTGTTATACAGAATGAGGATTTATATTTTTTAGTGATTACTCAAAGACAAAGAAAAAGAAAAAGAGAGATGCCCAAACTTCCTAACTATAAGAATAACACTGTAGCCAGGCAGTGGTGATGTCACACGCCTTTAATCCCAGCCCTCGGGAAGCAGAGGTAGGTGGATCTCTGTGAGTTCAAGGCCAGCCTGGTCTACAAGAGCTAGTTCCAGGACAGCCAGGACTATTTATTACACAGAGAAACCCTGTGGGGAGAGAAAGAGGGAGAATAACACTTTGTATTAGAAATGTTTCAAAACAATTTGATCATTTTTGTGGCAAAATAATAGTTAACAGAAACCCATGAACAGGCAAATTTAAATCCTACAAATAAAACTCCCTCCCTTTTTCTTCAATTGCAGTCGAAACCAGGTTTAAAATGTTGCTAATAGATGATACTGTTTTTTCAAATTTGTAGCTTAGTCCTTATAACAGTTCTGTTGTGATACAAAGTTCCAAACATACTTTCTTTAGAACTTGCTTGAGGCGTGCACATCTGATTTTCCACCCGGTTTTACCATTGCCTTAGATTGCCACACCGTTCTGTTACCTAGATTGCTATTTACAAAGCACTTTGGTCACCCAGGAAGATGAGTTCAGCTCATAAATTCTTCGACCTCTGTGCCCGAAGCTTTTCCGTAACAAGAGATATTATGATTCACCTCCATGTGTTCTGGGATCCCAAAGACTTTCCCACGAGGAGAAAACCACAGACTAAATTAGAAAGAAAGCCAGTACAGAATGACAGAGACTAAGACTGATAAAAGGGGCAATTACCTTCTGAGAAATGAGCAAGAACTTGCCCAGACCCAAATAATAATACAGAAACTATATCAATTACAACACTGCTTGACCAACAGCTAAGGTTCCTTATTAACTAACTCTTACCTCTTAAATGAACCCATTTCTATATATCTATGTATTGCCTTGAAACTCGTAGTTTACTGGTAAAGTTCTGGCAGCTTTGGTGTCTTTCTGACTCTGCTTTCTTTTCTCCTCTTTCTCTGCTTGGAATTCCTGCCTTTCTCTATGATATACTGCCATATGCCCAAAGCAGCTTCTTTATTAACCAATGGTAATGAAGCATATTCACAGCATACAGAGGGGAATCCCACACCATCTCCCCTTTTCTATCTAAATAAAAAGGAAGGTCTTAACTTTAACATAGCAAGATTACATACAACAAAACAATTATTAAGCAAGAATTATAGTTACAATATTTGGCAAATTAAGGAAAAATTCTCTATCATTTATCCTATCTTTGTGAGTCTCAAGTTTTATATCTAATCTATCTTTTATAATTATAACTATCTTTCTTCAACTCCATCAAAGACTCCAGAAGGATATATTACCTAAGTAAACAGAAAGTGCTTTGTAAGCAACTTCCAAAGCTCTAGAATTGACAGAGATGTCTCACTGCCTGTACAGTCACCCCAAGTTCTTTTGTACTGTTGGGGGATCCATCTTCGGCCTTCAGGCCCATAGTATCTGACAGACTTTTCCATGAAGCATGAAATTTGAAAGACTGTTTCGCCTCTATTGGCAGTTTGTCAGTCACTTTCTTCTGTATCCTGCAGAATATCTGGCAGACATTTCATGAAGCAGGAACCACGAAGGACCATCTTACCTTCTTTAGGAAACTTCAACAGTCATTTCTCTGTAGGTCCTGTATGTCCAGTTCATACTCCATAACATCAAGCAGTCTAGGCAAGAGCAGTTTCTTTCCTGAATGGCTAACAAACTCCATAAAGAGCCTCTTCGATGTCCATCATCGTCTTGAAGTAGATTGGTGCTGCCAGGAGCAGATGAGTCTCATTGTCATGAAAAGTCCTAAGTTCTTAACACATTTTAAATGCCATATTCTGTAGGTCTTTGAAAGATCTGAAAAAATACCTATCCATCTGAAATATATCTCTGTATATCTAGAAAGCCTAACATGACTACAAGCTTGACTATTACAGGTGACTCTCTATTAACCTGTATTTCTTAATTATACATTACACTTTTTAAAGAACTACACAAACACAATACCTTAATCAAGAACAGAAATATACATATAACAAAATTGACCTTAAATTCATATCAATAAACCAAGATTCATATTCATATCAATATACCAATTTACCAGTAAGGATCCGGGCCTCTGTCTCCTTTGGCAGCTACACGGCATCTCTCTGACTCTGCCTTCTTTTCTCCTTTATTTCTGCTTGGAAATCCCACCTTGCTCTATTCTGCACTGCCATAGGCCCAAGCAGCTTCTTTATTAACCAATGGTAATAAAACACATTCACAGCATACAGAGGGGATCCCACATCAAGTATGGAGCCAGGGTTATCCGTTGAAAGGAAGGGACCCATTAAGACGTGGGTCAGGAAAGATCTTCCTCAATCAGACACTGAAAGACAAGTCCATAGCAGGCAGGGTGCCACACCAGAGCAAACTGGGGGCACAGTCTGTCCTTGATATCAGGGAACTGTGGGGTGACTCGTACTTGGTGAGTACATCTTAAATAAATCAGTACAATGTCCATCGTTTGGTGACAGGTGGGATTCATGAACAGTGGACGGATCAAAGCCCTAGACATTGAGTGTTACATCAACGGAGGGTGCACCCTGGATGACTCAGAGCTGGTATGTGTACCCGAAACCAACTGTGCTCTTGAGAGTGGATAAGACGAAGATTGTCTAGATGAATCTTTACGGAAAGGAAGGTGGTGGTGTCTAACGTGTGTGGGTATCTCCTTTTACTTCAGGTAACGGAATTCCTTGTGTTGAAGCTGGAAAATGCCTATAAAATCCGCAACCTCAGACTCCGAGGTCGTGCGTGCATGACCAATTTACCGTCCAACACAGCCTTCCGTGGGTTTGGCTTCCCACAGGGAACCCTGGTCACAGAATCCTGTATCACAGCTGTGGCCGCTAAATGTGGGCTTCCACCAGAAAAGGTAAGGTGATAACCGGGGTTATAACTAAGGCTGGTGGTAAGGAATCAGAGGAGACAGGAATTAGCTAGTGGCCCTAGGAAACACTAGAAAACTGTACAAATTAACCCTGGCTCAGAGTTTTTTTGTTTGTCTGTTTTTTGGTATTTCAAGACAGGGTTTCCCTGTGTAACAGTCCTATCTGTCCTGGAACTAATTCTTGTAGACCAGGCTGACCTCGAACTCACAGGGATTCACCTGCCTCTTCCTCCTGAGTGCTGGGATTAAAGGTGCACACCATCATTGCTCAGCATGGCTCAGAGTGTGAGATAAGAGCTTTATTTTTTTTCCATGACTATGATGTGGACACGCCATCCTTTACTTAGTCGCTCCACCATTTGCGTATATGTTGTTTGTTACTTGGTTTAAGCAGTTAAAATGGTGCTGGGACTGGAGAGAAGGTACAGTAGTTAAGAGACATCTTGCTCTTCCAGAATTTACTTCCAAGCACCCACATCAGTGGTTCACAATCACCTGTAACTCCAGCTCCAGGGGATCTTGTGCCCCCTTCTGGCCTCCACAGGCACTGCACTCACATGCACAAGCCCACACTCAAAAGAACTTGCCATGAATACCCTGATACATAGTACTAGGGATTCAGCATATCTTTGTCCTTTTGGGGGGGGGAGGGTCTGTCTATTGAACAAACTCATAGAAACGGAATGGCTGGCTCACTTGAAAGCTTTTTGGAGATGTCCAAAATTTTTGCCATTTGAAAATATGATTCTGTACAGTAAACCAGGAGGTCTGGGAGGTATAAAGGAATTGGGCCAGAGACAGGCTGACTCCAGCACCCACTGATGATGATGTCATCCGCTCCTTGATCTTTCGGTCACATACTGTCCTCTCCCCATTTCTAGCCTCTGTTCCAGCAAGGACTCTGTGTGTCCCAGCTCCCAAACACCTTTGTCCCTAAATTCAACAGGGACCTCCAGGTTTTCATCTCATTGGCTGAGAGCTTCCTCCCCACCAGAGAACACCTAATACTATATCGGAAAAGTAATAGAGTCCCTACAAGAAGTCACAAAAAGTACCCACGGGCGGGGTGGCGCATGTCTTTAATCCCAGCACTCGGGAGGCAGAGGTAGGCGGATCTCTGTGAGTTTGAGACCAGCCTCGTCTACAGAGTGAGTTCCAGGACAGCCAAAGTTTACGCTGAGAAATCCTGTCTCGAAATAAACAAACAAAAAAGGTGCCCATGAGTACAAAGGAGGACGGCATTACGTCAGGATGAGGAGGGGAACTCAGGAAAAAAGAAAATATTCCTGGAGAAGATGACACTTGAGGTTCACCTTGAGGAAGGCAATCTAAGCAACTGGGACAGCATGGGCAAAAACAGTGGACCCCCTTGTGATGTAGGTGGGCCTTCTGTCTATGTGTTATTTTCATTGGTTAATAAAGAGACTGCCTTGACCCTTTGATAGGACAGAAAATTAGGTAGGCGGAGTAAACAGAACAGAATGTTGGGAAGAGGGCAATGAGGCAGATGCCATGGAGCCAGCCACCAGGTCAGACATGCTGAATCTTTCCCGGTAAGCCACCACCTCGTGGTGCTACACAGATTATTAGAAATGGGTTAATCAAGATGTGAGAGTTAGCCAGTAACTAACTCTCTAGAGATAACAGGCCAGGCAGTGTTTAAATGAAAACAATTTGTGTGTTGTTATTTCCGGGGCTAAGCTAGCCGTGCGGGACGAAAAGCAGGTCTGCCCGCGGCTCCTTCTTGTATCCCACATTCCTTGGCTATAGAATGAGAACAAGATGATTTACTTCATAGATTTCCTGAGGACAAAATTAATGTTTACTAAGATACTCATCTTTGGAGGTCTGGGGAAATAGTTCAGTGACAGGGTCCACTCGGAATGCACAAGGCCTGGGTTTCAGTCCCAGAGCCACACATAAAAATGTTTGCGAGGAACGGGCATAGTCTCAGTCCAGTGTTGTTGCTGCTGACAATACGGTAACTTTTTGGCTTCTGTTAGAATAAACTGGAGAGAATGAAAAGCTCTCAGGCATTTCCAGCAGGCGCACCCCTGGGTGCTGAAAATGCCAAAGATATGAAGCAGATCCTGATCCAACACAAATGTTATAAGGTTTAGCCACATATTTTAAACGCGAAGGTTTGACGACCTATTCTTGGCTGTTATCTGTTCTGCGACTTCTTTCTAGCAGAATGATCCTCATCTATGAGGGTAGAGCCTGGCTTTAACTCACTCTTTACCAACCCCGTTCCATCCTCTGAACCCTAAAGTTTGAAGAGAAAATGGTGGGCCAATAAGATGGCTCAGTGGATAAAGACAATCGCTGCCAAGTTTGACAACCTGAGTTTTATCCCTGGGGACAAGATGGTAGAAGGAGAGAGCTGACTCTCATGGTTGTCCTCCGACTTCCACATATATGCCATGGCATGTATACATACAGACACATACGGAGGAGGGGGGAGATGCAGGATGCGATAGATGATAGATAGATAGATTGATAGATAGGTGATAGATAGATAGGTGATAGATAGATAGATAGATAGATAGACAGACAGACAGATAGATGATAGATAGATAGATAGATGATTGATAGATAGATGATAGAGATAGATTATAGATGGTAGATTGATAGATAGATGATTGATGGACAGATAGATAGATAGATGATTGATTGATAGATAGATGATAGATGACAGAGATAGATTATAGATGGTAGATAGATAGATAGATAGATAGATAGATAGGAGATAAATAGATAGATAGATAGATAGATAGATAGATAGATAGATAGATAGGTGATAGATAGATAGATAGATGATAGATAGATAGATAGATAGATAGATAGATAGATAGATAGATAGATGATAGATGGTAAGTAGGTAGGTAGGTAGGTAGGTAGGTAGGTAGGTAGGTAGGTAGATAGATAGATAGATAGATAGATAGATAGATAGATAGATAGATAG